CTATACGGTATCGCCGTATCGGTATGTGAAGAACGTCGTAATATAGAAGATAATGCCATAACACAGAACTCTGGTATAGGTTGACTTTTCAAAACTATTGCTTTTCTAATCGAAAGCCTGTCGCGTAAAGCAGTTTTGTCTTGGAATCAGCAGAATACCATCTTAAGGGCAGGGTTGAAAGTCAGATAATATTGTTCATAGATATAAAACAATGCAGAATATAATATAATATAAGTACAACGGTATATGTATACATACCAAATTCGATCGTATCTTTAACGAGTTATCGGATGGATAGGTTTAAAATGGTTTATACGTATATATGTATAATATACGATAAAGCCCCATTAAAAAATAATGAATCAGTATAATTATACGTAAAATATAAAATCAATATTATTTATTACTATTGTTTGTTGTTTCTACTGCGACACGGGCTTTTAATTTTACGTACCCGAATTATAAATAATATAATTTATCACGTGAATAACAGTTTTAGCTAAGTAAAATACCTACAAAATTTTTTTTTAATTCGTCCTCCTCTCTCACTTGAAATCGAAAACTCTATTCACCTAACCCCGAAACTATTTGTATTGTAACATAATGCTTTTCGTCTCGACATTTGAATGGTTTGAAGTCATTGATCAATGGTGGCGGCGACTCTGCATTAGAGTCGATCGCGGTATAATATTTATATCCACATATATTATTACCTAATATACAATACATCATCGACTAGCCACACACGAGCCCGCACTACTGCGCTACAGGCCATACAGCCGAAGATTTCCATATATTTTTTATTAACGGGCGAACCGCTCGCGCCATGACAGATAGGTCGACGACGGTGGCGACGACTACGTCTATAATACGTGAACTTGGCCGCACGCGCATTATATAGTCAATGAACTTGTTTTGCCGGCTGTTTTCCGGTCGGTCGCGATACGAGTAAAATAAAACACGTACAAAATACTATACACAATACACATAATAATAATATGTCATATGCATAATACATATATACAAGACAGCGACGGCGGCGGCCACAACTCCGCAGTCGTCGTCGTGCAGCGGTTTCCTTTCTTCGGCTTTACGACCAAAACTATACGATAGTCGTATTAATTTCGAACCGGAATAACAATCAAGTCCCCTTATGCTCATTAACATGCTGTTTTAGGCGCATTTATTATTATTATTATTATTATTATTATTATTATTATCGTCATCGCCGCCGCCGCCGCCATGCCACAGCCGTTTTCCACGCACATCAACCGTTACACACTACTCATATCATATAATATACTCCACTTCGTCTCATCTTTTATGACACGACGACATGAGGGTACCCCGTCACAGAACACGTTAAAAAAAAAATAAAAATAAAAAACGTAAACGAAACTTGTGCGTGCTTAGATAGTTTTTTGTTTTTGCTTAACGAGCGCAAACGATGACTGACGACAACGACTGCAGTGTGCGGACGAGTACCTACTGCAGCTGCAGCGATATTATTATTTATTATTATTACGACGGATCCTCTGAACAAAAGAACCAAATATATTAAAAGCTCTGGAAAATTATACTGTTATGATATACATATGTCAATGTGTGTGTGTGTATCGTCTTATGACTGAGTTAAAACCATATTAATGAGGTCAAGTTACTCGAGGCAACAGCTCTATAGTGTGAAATGTGAATATTATGTGTGTGTATGATACGATATAATATGGTATAATAATGTTGTGCATATTTTAGATTATTATTGTGTGTTTATTATACGAATTATAAACTAATTATTCGTCGTGTACTTGTGCACACTCAACTGCTGCACTGTCGTTGGCATAATTAGCCAATTTAATCGTCAAACATTTCATAGTAAATATTACGTTATCAAGGACAAATGTTTTAATTTTTTTTTTATAAATAAAAATTATGAAATGCTAACACACACACTTGTTGGTCGAATATAGTAAATTAGATAATTCACAATAAATTAATTTAGATGACAGAATTATATTATTTGATAGAATCATTTTTTTTTGGCGTGGGAACAAGTAATGCGACAGGGAATTTATTAAAACAAATTCCATTGAAACATTACTTTTGAAATACCATACGCATTCTCATAAAATATTTGGTTTTCTGACTGATAGTTCGATTAATACGAGTGGGAGCAGGCGACTGCAGTGGGAAGAAACAGCACTGCATCAGTGTGTATATACAACGGGTTTTACATTATTTAAAATATAATCATTGCATGGTATAACGAACATGTATTCTCGTCTGAGGCTTAGATGTACAAAACCTTTTTGAAACCATAACCGTTTGACACACGCACACATCTCATTATCGTACCACACACAAACTAAACAATTTATGAGTATACTTATTATATTTTCAATTTTCAAATAATCAACCGTGGAAAAAAAACCCGAAGCACAATGCCACGGGTCAATATCCATAATGCATAATAATAAAAAATGTACAATAATAACATAAATAATAGAACCCTCTAACAACACGACACAAATTGCAGCATGCGGCAATCCCGGATAGTCTGTCCCAACTATATAATTCTGTGTGATTTACTGGAATTGATTTCCCGGTATGGATTTTTCTAGTCTGTTCTATTTCGTTGTTTATACATAGAATATGCAGGTATATGTATAAAAACTTCAATGTCGGAATGATAGTGTTTGAAATGAGAAAATGCCTAATGCGCCGAGAATTACCTTAAAAACTTTCCCCTGCCGATTAGACTGTAGTCTGTAAGCCAACGACCATATTATTATTATATATGGTCGGCATACGTTTATATATAGGTGTACAATGAGTGCCGCCAATACGTAAGTAAAAGTGAATTCGCTCGCATTTTATATGATGTGTATCACACTATCATGTAAATGTCACAAACGATATAAGCTCATCTCGTCGATGGCGAGAAAACAACAGAAGAGAATACTGAAATCTGATGGCATGAATAAATTATTCGATGTAATCATTATGCAGGTTAGGTTACCTATGTGTTTGAAGATGATAATAAAACAAATATCACCCATAGATTTTATGGCAAAATAGATTGTGGTTATAGGGATACTGCAGTTAGGGGTAATAACAGCGTCTTATCGTACATAAAGCAGTGGATTGACCCATACAAAATCATGTAACACACACGTGCACAACAAACTCCATACTCGACGAAAAGTGAAACGACTATCACGGTCACCGCCGCCGACAATTCGTTTGAAATGTATGTGTCATACGCGAGTTCTCAGCCACTCCTTAGCCCCCACTTGTAAGTTGTAGTATTATAACATAGTGCAGGGTGATTCACCAATCATACCCACCCACCCTTGTTTCCTTTAACAATGCAGCTATTCGAAATTTGATTTTTGAATTTTTGTAACAGGTATACTCAAACTAAAACCCCATTTTCTTACTTTGAATTATCTAGCAGATAATTTTTTGAAAGTATTCGAAAATATGGTCTTTAAGTAGTATATTTAAAAATTCCGAAACACAGATTTTGAATAGCTACATTATTAAAGGAAAATGGCGCTGGACATGCTTGACGAATAACCCTAATATAATGTTTATAAATTATATATTATGCGTACCTACCGGCTGTATCGCACAATAACGTATTTATGAAATGTCTAAAAACCCAGGCCGCCGTATTATGTACAAAAATCGAAGCCTGTATGACGCACGATACGTGTGCTGTTTAGGTATACCTATACCTGTGTCTATGGCCTGTGTCGACGACCGTCGTCGTCTTCTCCACACAGCAAAGCCGAATAATATTATTATATAATAGACGTGCGTTGTAGAACTCGTCGTGACAATCGTCATGGTCCCCGTCGTCGTCGCGTCTCCCCGACCATCTCGTAATTAGTCACACGCGCGATATAATACACGACAGGGACAATATTACAATTATTGTTATTTTGTATACACCGCTGCACTATACACGGATAGTCGGCACTTGTAGGCTGGTATTGTGTACAGCCACGGCGCACGCGAGGTGGGAATTATTGGTTGTCTAAACAATTTCAAATGTAGTAGGGGAAAAAAAACGAAATGCCTTTCGGCGACGGTAACGTGAACCCCACAATGACAAAATATACATTATACACGATAATATTATGTAGCCGATGATATCATGGACCGACTGAGATCTCGTCCGCTTATCTCTGCTGAGCGGTAAGTACGTGACAATAACGTTTATGCGTATAGACGGGTGGTTAGCGGCGGAGTGGAGTGGAGACAACAGAGTTTGAATAGTTCGTATTATTATTATTGCTATCGGAGGAGTCCGAAAAAAAGCCCAACCCTGGCAAAAGTAAACCACCTAAGAGATTACCTATTGGATATAACTGCGCCTAAACAAACCAAGCAAAACTCCTATCTATATATTTTCGTGTTTAGTCCAAAACAATAAATAATTTTAAACAAAAAATTCGTAGTGATATATATCGGTAAATATTTAACAAAATAACTACCCTTACGCCCTCTCACGACATTTGTATCATATCAGCTTAAATACAAAAGAAAAATTATTAAACAATGAACTAGAAAGCCCGAAAGCCCATAAGCTGCTTTCTACAACACTAATAATAGCTATCGTCAGTTTTAAATCATATAATCATTGTCGGACGCATCGCGTGTATTCTAAGTAAAAAAATAATAATAATAGTAATAATTCGTATCGAATACCTATAATGATAATACAGCTAGAGCATACTATAGGATTAAGGGCAACAAAAATAAATACATGTGATAAAATACAAATAATAAAATATATTATAGTACGTTTGAAGGGGGAAAATAAACAGCCGTCCGCAGATTAGATATTATTATTAGTTATAACATGGAAACTCAAAAAATTTCATTCGGTACCGTACCTATTATGAATTCTTTTTTTTTTTTTTTTGATCCAAACGACTCGAAAACTTTTCGGAAAACGAAAATAAAAAAAGTAAAAATTGTGGCCTGAAACTCACCTTCGTTGTCGACCGCCAGATCGGATCTGTCTTGGGTCATCGAGTCCTCAGGGTCGGAGTCGATGTGTGGTATAGAGTTGTCAGTGTCGTCGTACACGCTGCCGCCGTTGTTTTGCTGCTGCTGCTGCTGTAGGGCCTTTGTGCGGTCGTCGTTGTCAGCGACAAAGGTCTGCTGCGGACGTCGTGTCGGCGACTGGCACGTCCGGTCTTGGCATCCGTAGCACGGGTACGGTATCCGGTCGAGCGGCACCCTGTGGACCGACCTGTCGACCACGGCCACCAGGTGTTTGAGCGTGGCGCTCAGCTGTTGCAGGTCACCGGCCAGCATGGCCGCGGTATCGGTGGACAGTCGGCTCCGGAGCCGGGCGCCCGCGCCCACCCAGTTCACCGTCAGTCCGGCACTGGCCACGTCCAGCGACAGGTACGCGTCAGACGGCGGTGCGCCGCCTGAGCAGCAACCGATCGGCGCCACCAGATGAGTTAGCACGCCACGTCGACCGTGGCTGAGAGGCCACCCTGCCCAAGCATCGCAACACTGCAACAACGGAAATAAAAAACTCAATTAGAAAAATACAAAATTACATACGATTACATTGAATGTTAATGTACACACATCGAAGTGTTCTGATCTCCCTAACCTAATCTAAATCTTAATATTGTGTGTTCATAACTAATGCATATTATAGTATAATTAATAATCTAATTTTATTTTTATATATTTATTGAAAGCGAATACATATGACCTATAATCACATGCAATATGGATTAAATTACAATGGTTGTAATAGTTAATTCACCCCAATAAGCTATGCTTGTAGCGGGATAAATGAGTTATCAACCTACATATACCTACATTTCTAGGAATACATTTAAAATGCAGATTAATTAAAGTTCTTTGGGCCTTTGCAAGCTATGTTGGACTGTTTATTACCTACCTATATTGCCTCATGAATTTGGGCGTGGGTGAAAAGTTTCAAATTTCCACAAAGATCAGTCGCCGGAAACCGCGATCCTGTACATGCAGGAAACTGTGGAACACGATAACGCATGTAATATGCTATTCATACCGTCGTGAAATAATGTAAACTTTTGATGCAGCTGCAGCGGTATACACATTAAGTAGCAACGAGCGGCGAATACGGTATACGGTAGCTAATACGCACTATAAGGCCGACCCCACGAAACGCGGAGGCAAAATGGCGGTGCCCCGTGAAAATGATTTATTTTTAGGTTTTCTTTGGAGTTCGATCTACGACGACGGACCCCCGTGCGACACACGTGCGCGAAAAAGGTCAATATTTACATTGAAGTGGCATCATGTGGGTCGTGAACGTAAACACACGATACTTAAAAACAATACTCCGCATCGGAAACATCGACCTCGTTGCTTATTTTATATTATACATGTATATGCTAACACTGCCTCCAGCACCACCACCACGGATGACACTGCAGACTTCTCTTACAGCTGCTATATTATTATAATCTAGGAGCGCTGTACAAGTCTTCTCACACGGACAACCACAATAATACCAATATTATTATAATTTACACTTTAATGCTACAGAATAGAGGTACCTAATACCGCGGAGTGATTTTCATTTCCGGTGTAAGTAACGTATTTTTTTTCGAGCCGAGCGTTTATTGACTATAAAATTGGCGAAAAAAGAAAACTATTATTATGGCCGATTGCCGATAATTCGTCGTTAATAGCAAATCTCAGGTTTTCACGTTTTTATTTTACTCGTACGAGTAAAAATTTCAACATTCATAGTATTATTTTTTACGTTCCAAAGTAATTTTGGCTTACATAATTTATTATTTTGATTGCGTGTCTGTTTACCTTTCATCGCATACATTAGTATAATATTATACCAAATCGAGTGTTTTTTTATACTTAGGTACGCACGATCGTTAAATGACACGAATCGTTCAAAAAAACGAGGAAAAAATCTCAAATCGACTCGAAGAATAAAAAACATTATCGGAGTTCAACACTATACCACTGCAGGTGTATGCTCCCCGAATTTCTCTGTGATATATTACTGCTGGGCCTCTTCCGGTCGGGGTTCGTCACTCGTTCGAGGCGTACAATATAATGCTCGTCGTACCTACGCGTATAAAAATAAAACTGAATTTATTTTTAAGCTGCAGACTGATGCAGAGCCTGACGGATCGTCCTAACCGTAAGACGTCTAGGACATGTCTTGCGTATAAATTAATATAATGTGTACACATAAATACGTCGGCGCGTAACCACGATCCGTGGATTAAAAAAAAAAAAAAAAAAAAAACAGTTAGTCGTTGAATTGAATCATTAAAATATAATATGTACCTACTCGGTTTCGTACTCGGCGGGTTGTACGTACATATAACACGATCAAATATAATGTAAACCGGTGTAGGTCGAGCAAAATTACGGTCGTATACTACGCCGCCGACGCCGCCATACTTTGCACGGGATCCTATCGGAATTAATTTTCCCGACACTGCACAACGCTATATTATAATATATAGTTGAACGAGTGTAATCGTCGAAACTCATTACACACACATTGGTGGGGGGGGGGGGGGAGAAGCCAGAAGAACCGTATCTGTGCCTGTTTGCTCAGACGATGAGGACCGCGATGTTTTCCGGCCAAAACAACAATCCGACAGGCACCTATATAATATATGTATATATATATATATGTTATACTATTGCTGCAGCGTTCATGGTCGACTTGCGAGTCCCCGGTAGCTCGGCGGCCTATATATAATATATTTCGGACCACAATATAATAATAAATACATGACTATTTGGTCGGCGCGGGTAGAAGTAAAACAAAAATAAAAAAAAAATGCACACAGACGCCGCGCACCACCCCAGGAAGCAATAACAATCGACCAATTTAACAGTTCAACGACCACGGACGGCGGCGCGGCTAGGGGCTTCCCGGCAACACGAATTAAAGTCGCCGGAAAACCGAAAACAGTATAATAATAATAATAATAATAATAACAATATATTATGATACATACGCAGTTATTAATTCGTTCGACAGTCTAAAACAAAGCGAGTACGCCGCCACCACCATGCACTGCACAGGGCAGATTGTGTACAATATATATATATATATATATATATAACCGTGTTGGGAGGGAGAGAGAGACGTTTATTATAATTTATAGTCGATGCCAAGTGATGCGGAATTTACGACGCGAAAACAGCGGAGGGTTTTTCGAGAGAAAAAATGCCAAACGAAAATTGTATTTCGTACCGGACGAGTACACGCCGCCGCTTTATTGTTATTAATACTTATTATCGTACTCGTCGGTTTTCCGCCGCCGCCGCACCCTGCGCGTATCTGTGGAAGGCGTATTATGCGCCTGGCGCGTCCTGACCGTATCGCACGACGACAACAACAATAATAATAATAATAATAATAATATTAATAGCGCAACGGCGGCAAAGTAGAATCGTAAAAAAAAAAACACGTTGTTTGGGTTATGCGAACGCGGCGTCGACGTGCCCACCGTGTACAATTCGGATTTGCATACGCGTGTATAATATGTCCGGGTTATACAGCACATGTGTGTACAGCGTTATTTCAATAAAATGTATGGTGTATTGTATATATGAGGAGGTACGAGCGTAACAAAAACGGAAGAAATTTGCACGAGCGCGAATAAAAACCACGTCGGTATGATGATATTATGCGCGAATAAAAGAATATGTATTAATTATTAGGTATAGGTACCTAGGCATATGAAGGTATACGCGAGACAATTCGCCAATCATGCTGGCCCTTTTTTTCTTCAAAAACGTAGTTTTCCAAAATCTGGTTTTCGAGGTTTTTAAATATTTATCTTAATTGAAGACCGTATTTTCAAATTTTTGGAGAATAATTCCGTTCTACGTAAATAGTGTGCAGGGGATCGATACAAAATTTTATTTTTCATATGAGAAACGTTTTTTCGACTCTAAATTATTTAGAGGATAATTTCGTGGAAAATGTTGACGTGTCAAAATCAAAATTTGAACGAGTTCCTAGTTTTTAAGTTATTTAATTTTGTTCATCAAGGATAATAAAGGCCCATTATGTACTTGCGTGCAGAAGATATGGGGGCCATATGGTGCCTTAAAAATGTTAGTACCTAATTATCAATTATTATTGCAGGTCCGCCAACTCTATAAAAGTATCTATTTTATTATACTTTCGTAAATCCATTCCTAAGGTTTGTTATTAAAATTCAGGCAGTGCTTGGTGAACCGTCCTGTATAACGAAGATAATATATTATTATACGAGATAATATGTGCGTATATACAATATATATGCCTTCAATCAGAGAAGTTCGGAGGGGATTAAAGGTCGCTGTAATGTGTTATCGTGCGATTATAAAATGCCACGTGCGCTGTCCGGTGCCGAGGAAGGAAACAGTTTAAATTTAATAAAACCAAAAGGGTTACGACATGCGGCGGAGGCGGAGGGGCTATGCAGTGTCTGTGTACAGCTTCGCGATGTACCATTAATCGTCGTCAATTATTCGAAATCCGACGCATACCACAGCATTCGAAAAACGATTACACTTTATCAACAATAAAGAGTCTGGTCGACGATAATGTTTACGGGACGTTTTTACTGCAGTTTTTAGTCGTTCGAACATAATAATAATATATTAACGTATGTTATAATAATTTATACGTAATCAACGAGTAAAGATTTTCAAAATGGAACTCTCGTATCAACGCATATTTTTAAATAGTATATATTAAAGCAAATCCCATTAAAAGACGTCTTGAAAAATTACAACTTTGCAGTAAGCTGTTATTTAAGATTTTAAATGTATTTATATATATATGACACGAGATTTTACTAACCTAGCTGTGTGGATCGTAATATAATATAATGACAACGAATAATATTATAAAAATATAATAAGTCAATATTCTAAGGACTAAGACACGAAATCACCCAACGAGTATACCTAATCCTACCAAAAGACATAAAAATAAAATCGTTATACATTTTACGAATTAAAATCAAAATGGACATCTGTCATAGGTACACCACCGGTACGCGTTGTATTCCTGCAACTTAAATCGTGTAAGATCATTCTCGAAATTCTTAATACAATTTTTTTTTTCATTATTATTATTAATAAAAATATCCGCGACGACATAGGCCATTGGGAAACACTTTATACTACATTTATATTTTATAGGTACATATAATTATATATTATTTATTTTTGTTTATATTATTTTAAAATAATAATAATAATAAGTCCGATCTGCAGGTCTCAAGGTAGATATCCACTGTGTTGTGCGTGTATATGAGCGACCAGACGGCGCCAGCGAAAAACATATTTGGTTATTATATTATTATCATCATCGTCATCATCATTATCGCCTCGACGACGAGGGTGACCGAAAACCATCGTCCTGCAGGGTTCTGGACCCCGACTGCGGGTCTGTGCGAGATGACCATAAATGATAAGGATTTTCGCATCGTTATCATTGGCGCGATCGACTGTATACCGGTTAGGTTAGG